GGTGAATGTGGATACTGATGCTAAGCTGTAAATGTGTAGAGAAGAGTATGGTGAATGTGGATACTGATGCTAAGCTGTAAATGTGTAGAGAAGAGTACGGTGAATGTGGATACTGATGCTAAGCTGTAAATGTGTAGAGAAGAGTATGGTGAATGTGGATACTGATGCTAAGCTGTAAATCTGTAGAGAAGAGTATGGTGAATGTGGGTACTAATGCTAAGCTGTCATGATACCTTCATCCCACAAGTTCAAAATTTGGCATATTTTAAACTCCCTGATTGAAAAATGGGAGCTTATCAAAACATTTTACAATACAATACAATACAAACTTTACTGACACTCCCGAAAGAGGGTTTTTCTCTCACAATGATCTAAAAATTACAATACTAAAATGTATAATAGAAAAATTAAGGAAGCTAACACAAACATTGAACCATTCCAAAACAGAACAACAATAAAAAAAAAAAAAAGACTAATTAACTGTGTTCTTTTATGGGTTTAGGTCCCACTGATATGGCTTCATCTGCATATCACGACAGTCAAGGGAATTCTCTAGTCTAAGGAAGTAACACTTTTATTTGCCTCACTATTTTCATTGTTCTCTTTCTCAGATCATTCATTCCTAGCATTTCCTCCCTCAGTGATAACGTCAGCGGCAGTTGCTGCATCACGCCTGAGACTTCACCTCTGCCCCTCCTGGACACCTCTGCTGATCAAGGTGACATCCTACACCTGGGAGCAGATAGCACCCTGTGTGCACATCATGTTAAGGTATTGGAATAAATCAAAATCAAATGTCACTCAGAATGGCATTCTCTCTTGAAATTAAACGACGACAAATAAGGAGTAATTTGATTTTGTATCTAGGTGAAATATTAAATTTATTTAATCCATCTTGAATATTACATAGTAGCAAAGTAGCTACTATCTTCAAGAAATGATGAATTTAAACAAGTTGTAAATAAACATTGTAAATAAAAATGAACAGGGTGTTAAAGAACCCAACCTGAGAAGAGGCTGATGAGTTGAACTTAGGGCAACCAAGGACAAATCCAGTGAGTAGCAGGGTAAAGGGCTTGATTCTGGGATCACCAGAATACAAGTCCAGCGCCCTGACCACTTGGCCTCCACTTACACATTGTTTTGTTTCTGATTTTAGAGCGCATGATGCAGATGAGAAAGCCATGTCACAACAGAAAGCAGTCAATGCCAAGGGATGATTAACTTTTGTCTCCTGGAATGGATATCACTCTGGGCAACAATGGACATATCTCATGATTCATATAAATGACAAGCCACTGGTCCAAAAGTTAAATTTCTAAACAGAGCTGTTTAGAAACTGCCTTCAATCCCAGTGGTAAATGAGAACTGGCAAGCAAAAATGAAACAAGGTTGCTTCAAGTAACAGCCAGTAATTAATAATTTTGTAAAGCACTTGATGAGGCATCCTAACTACCGGTATTCTCCATCTAAAGCTATTTGTTAATTGGTGGAGAGCTGTACCTTCCCTTTGCCTTGCTCAAACCTTTGAATCAGACATGCGAGCACTTTTTTAAAGTCTAATAGTTTGCAACATGTCAAGTTCAAGGCTTGTTGTTTCCAACAAGTACAAAAGTACTTGAACTACTAATAACATTAATTCTATGAAATGTTGCTGGTTTCCAAGGGGTGTGAATAAACTATTTCCATGATGTTATTCAATCTACTTTTCATTATTTTTCTAGTCTAGGACTATTTTGTCTCTATTAAAAAGTTAGAAGTAAGCTGAAAATTCCAAAAACAGACTACAATAACTCTGCAACTCAATATTCAGTTTACAACTTAATTGTGACTTAATTGTTGGTTTTTAATTTTAAGACTACATGGTCTTACAGATGAAAAGTACTTTTTAATGGAGATGTTAAAAGCCTAGTAACTTTCCAAGAAACAAATATCTGTTGTCATACAATACAGTGCTAACTTTTGGTCTTAAGTTCTATATCTTTTAACAGTCCAGGAAACTGCCACACAACCTTTAAAATTCCACTTTTTACAAACTTGTTTATTTTCCACATAAGTGAATATGAAATTAACTTCCAAATGGTAGATCAATCCACACTCATAGTTCACATATTTCTGCTGATCAGCAGGTTATTGGCTAGATACTAGTTTAGATACTCTAATTCTAAATGTGATCTGAAGATGAACAGACTGGACGCATTACTGGCACTGTACACCCAGTCAAAATTGTGGGAAAATTTTTACAGTAAAGTATAATTAAATGCATCAGTGACACGTATACATATATTTCACTTCTGTGGATAAATAAGAGTTTCTTCATTTACCAGTTTCAATAATGCCTTGTCAGAAAATCAATTGAAAGTTTAAACTTACAAAATGTAAAAGCATTTACATGTAGCTTTAAATACAGAAAAATAATAAATAATGCTTCTCCAGATGTACCTTTTTATCAAGTACATCTTAAGTACTTAGACTGTGAAGAATTCTCAAGATTGATGCAACAAAAATAATACTCATAAATAATGTCTATAGAAAAATACTTCTGTACAATTTTTCATTCCTGGGGAATTACAAAATACTTAGCAAAGACTTAGGTTGGCTTTATAGACAATCGTCAAATAATGTTTCTCTCTTTGGCATGTTCTTTGACTACCTGCCATGAGACAAAGATTTCATAACTCTCAAAACTTTAAGGAACCCTTTGATAACCAGCTGTTGAAAAAGGCCTGCATTTGTGACCTTTTTTCAGCTGAATGGACATTAACCGTAGGAATGATCTTCTTTGGCTGAAGAAACCTGACAAATCTCTCCAGTTCACTGAAGCTGCTATGCTCACTATAAGGCACACCTACACATTAGGACAAAGACAACAACAATATAACAAACACACTAGGAACTACTTCTGGTCATTGTCAGTGATGAAATGACTGCTTGGAGGAAAGGACTAAGGTTGGGTATGGAAAAGTACAAGACGTGCAGAGTAAGTTATATCTAGTGTATCATACTCACCATAGATTGTGACACTTCCTCTCTTGGAAGGTTTAATCATGGACAAATCTTCCCGTTTTGCACTGTGTTCCCATCCAGTGGGTTTAAAGGCCAAGAGTTCAGTATACTGTGACTTATGAGATCCCAAATATGTTACTAGATTCTATCAATAAATAAATAAATAAAATTAAACTATATTCTATTAAATATTTAATTTGATAATAAAATAAGAGCAAAGCAAAGACATCTTAAAAGTACCTAGAGTTTGGGATTTGTTCCACAGGAGAATTAACCCACTTACAAACCTTAACTGTTTCACTGCCAGAAGATAATAATCTTTACTGTCTGCCATACAATGCATATAATATTTGGTATTGGATAAACTCAATATCCCCTAATTGATACTTTTCTTTATTCTCATCACTGGTGTACTTGATATTGCACCGACATGATACTGTAAGGAGAAATTCTGTCTCAGTCACTCCTGGGACTCAAATGGTTAACTGAATACATGTTCTGCAGTCACCTGTAATAAATTTTGAGTTGCTTTACATTGACCATTAAAGTGAAAAATAAAATCACAACAATAAAATGAATCTCTCACCTGTAATGTTAGCTTTGCCATAGGCAACACATGAATTCTTCCAGCCCTCCAGTCAGTTGTGATTAGAGATTTGATTTTATCAGATTCAAGACAATCCAGAACCTTTTTCTTTTGTTTTTCTACACTGACTTTACAATGAAGTGCCTCTGCAATGGCTTGACACAAAAAATAGCAAGTAAAAAAAAAAATGAGTAAATTATCACTGCCCATGATACTTGAATATCAAAACTGATTTCAACGTTATTACAGATACAAAGTAATAAGTTCTTACTAAAACATTTAGTGATGAAAAATATGAACGACGTTTTGACCGCTCCACGGTCATTTTCAAGTTAGAGTTTACGAGTAAACTTCTGCATATTTTTATATATGATTTCTGAAACAATGGAATGAAGGTAAAAGCTAAGTATTTACATACAAACAATAGAGCTAATAATTAATAACAAAGTGCAAAAATGAAGTGTAAATAAGTGGCAAAAAGGATGAATTAATTGATTTTCATCCTTTTCACCGCTTATTTACACTTCATTTTTGCACTTTGACATTAGTTATTAGCTATATTGTTTATAAATACTTAGCTTTTACCTTCATTCCATTGTTTCAGAAATCATATATATGCGGAAATTTACTCATAAACTCTCACTTGAAAATGACCGTGGAGTGGTCGAAACATCATTCATATTTTTTTATCACTCATTTTTATCACGTTACTATAATTTATGGTACGAATCATTCAGATTTGCTGTAATTTGTACAATCTTGGCCTCCAGTGTTTGTCTCTCATCTATCCAAGATTTCTAAAATTCTCACCAAGAAATACACGTTCTTTTCCAATTGTGTATGAGCCACAAACAATCAGCGTCTTTGGGTTTTGTTTACATGCTAGCACAGCTTTTGAAACAGCAAAGTTGATGGTTTCCTCTTGAGGAGGGAAGGAATAATTTGGATCACAGTAGCTGAAACATTTTAGAAAAAAAAAACAGATTAAAACTATGAAGACCATTAAGTGATTACATAAAAGATTAATTTAAAAACAAAATCTCTATTACGTATGATGCACGATCCTCGCAGTGGAGGGCGCTATTTACGCAATAGCGAAAATCAGACCTGAAAAAAATCAGGCCTGTATGGGATTCAAACCACTGACCTGATCAAGGTCAGTGGTTCGAATCCTGAATCACTGACCAAGGTCAGTGGTTCGAATCCTGAATCACTGACCAAGGTCAGTGGTTCGAATCCTGAATCACTGACCAAGGTCAGTGGTTCGAATCCTGAATCACTGACCAAGGTCAGTGGTTCGAATCCTGAATCACTGACCAAGGTCAGTGGTTCGAATCCTGAATCACTGACCAAGGTCAGTGGTTCGAATCCTGAATCACTGACCAAGGTCAGTGGTTCGAATCCTGAATCACTGACCAAGGTCAGTGGTT